CATTCGTGGATTTGCACGATATGGAGCTCTGTTGACTGGTTTTGTTCCTGGTTGCAATGGAAAATCAGCCTCTGTGAGAGTACATTTGCCCAGTTCTTTAGGACTCAGGGAGAATACTGAACGGTATTTGGGACACAGTTTAAGAATTTCTTCACACTGGACGGGCAAAAAGGTTGTATCTCTGAAAGCTTTGGCTAATGCCTTCTTCTTGAGATCTGTACGTTTTTTTTTCGTTTCTTCCGGGCTCGATTGAACGCTGCTCATTGTTTGTGGCAGTACCGTTTTCACCGGAGAGATATAGCCTATAAGTGTATTTCTCTTCAGGGATACCTGTCTGTGAGAAGGGTTGGCCAGTTGTACCATTGCACTTTTGTTGTGCTTATACCAGTGACAGACCGTGCGTGCTACTATTACCCTTTGGAATGCCTGAGGCGCGTCATCGGAAGTCACGATGCGTGGTTCAACAACAACGGCAGCTGTGGTTTCATTTGGCGCTTCCAGCGAATTAATTTCGACAGCTATTTCATGTTGCGCAGGTATGCAGCATTTTTTGGTAATGTATACTGGCACTGCAAGTGTGTCCCTCTCAACTGCTACCACAGAACAGTTCATGCTGTTTTCCTGATCGGTCGTTGGGTAGCGCGTTTTACGGTGGGTGGCCGGAATTTTGTTTTTTTTTGTTGTTTTAAACGACAATTCTTCCGCTTGCCAATCAAGGGCACCGCCAAATGCGCCCATTATGCTATTGTCGATTAGCATATTATCTGGTCCCAACGACGGTAGCACTAGAGCTTCAACAGGTAAGGTGATTTCTCCTAGTGTTAGTTCGAATCGAGTGTACCCTTTAATTTTCAGGGGCGAACCATCAGCGCTGCGCAAATTGACTGCTCCCGNCATTTAGCAACTGACATACGGTTTAATGTGAAGACAAACAACAAAAAACAACAACGACGGTAGCACTAGAGCTTCAACAGGTAAGGTGATTTCTCCTAGTGTTAGTTCGAATCGAGTGTACCCTTTAATTTTCAGGGGCGAACCATCAGCGCTGCGCAAATTGATTGCTCCTGTGGGTACTGGAAATATTTTCGTGTTTTTCAGCGTTTTGTGACTTCTCATGAATTTGTGTGATATGCATGGTATGTGACACGCTGTGTCGATTGTAATTTCATCAACCGACTCATTGTTTATCCTGGCGGATACACGTACTCGCTTGGATGTCGATCGTAACACCGATGGACACACGGGGTATCCAGCGAGTGCAGACATGTAAAAAGCATGAAATTCTTCATTATCATCAGTCCTCATTAGGTTCGACCTATGTTTGGACCTGAAGTCCCCAGCTACGGTAGCTACGTGCAAATCTTGCGGCGCTAAACTTGCTGCTACTTGCTTCACTTGGGTGCTATCCCTTGCTGCTGGATCTAAAGAGTCTACTGCATCAGTTGTGCCAGTACTCGACGTGGGAATTTCCCGCGTTTGCTTGCTGCTACAAACTTCGCAAGAATTTTCTCGTGATTCAGGTACTTCAACTGTTTTAACGCACTGCTCTCTGCCTGCTTTTCCTTTTGTTTCCCCCAGAGGTCGTACACCATTTCTACAGTGTTTTGTATCCCTCTCATCTACTTTGGCTCTCTTCTGCTTATTCTTGCTTTGCAGCCTATCCCAGCTTTTACGTACTGGTTTGAAAGAACCAAATGATTGGTGTCCCACGTTGGCCGAGGGATGCTGCCTACTCGGGCGACCCTACTTTTTAGTAACTTTGTACCCCTCAGATCGCGGGTGCGTGAATCTTCGGGTGCTGAACTTTCACCCGATAAAATCGCACTCGACTTTCTCACGTGTGTCCGGTTTGGTACTATTGGCAAAGGTGACTTTCGGCTTAGTGCGGGTGGTTGGTCCACGCGATCGATCGCGGTCTCTTTTGTCCGCCGCTTTCCGCGGGTTACGGCCTTGCTGTCCCGTGTACGCAGCCCCGCTCGCCACGAACGCATCTTGACCCGAAATCAAATTCTCCAGGGCCGAGATGCGGTTTTGGTGGTCAGCTGTTGCATGTTGGAGCTGCTCAGCATGAGCAGGACCATGTACAGCGGAAGCGGTAGCCGAGACGGGGGCAGAGGGGGAGCGCAGGTTGTTGGACTCGTGTCTACGAGCACGCGCTTTAGATTCCATGAAAGATTCGGATGGATCTGCCCTCATCATTTCCACGCGGATGTGCGGGTGTACACCGTTTTCGAAAGATGCAGTGAGAGCTTGAGTAAAAGCGTGTTCGTGAGGTGGTACGTTCAGCGGAGCTGTGCGTTCGGCTTCTGCTAAAAGCCTGGCGTACGTGCGGGTTACTCTGAGCGCAAACTCGTCAACGGATTCGCTACTCTTTGCTTCCAATGTCATGACATCACGTGCAAGAAGAGCGATTCTGTTGGCAGGGGCGAACGAAGTAGTGAAAGCGGTGACCCACTCTTTCCATGTTTTCGGAGGTGAGATTCGGATTGCCTCCCCACGCGCACGCAACGCATGCAGCTGGGCTGGTGGTCGCCATTCGAGTGATGAGCTAAGCATGAGGCTGAGGCTTTGAGCTGCAGTACCTCGTACGAAAAGTGGGAGGTGTCTGATTGCACGGTGATCGATTGTGCTTTGAGAGACGTTGTCGGCGGACAATAGCCCGATGTGTGCTCTGTAAAGGGCCATTTTTTCCGGAACATCTTCGTGAGGCAGACCTTCGAGCTTGAGGTCAGGCGGAAGGTCGGTAGCCTTCAAAGTGAATCGTGTCGTGCTAATCACGCCCTGGTTTGCCGTGTTCTGGGTTACCGGGTTAGACGTGTCCTGGTTTACCGTTTGCTGGTTTACCTGGCTCATTGGTTTTTGGTTTACCGCGTTGAGGTTGTCCGGGGTATTGTGTGAAATTGTTGTGTTCTGATGAGCAGAAGAAATTTGCGGAACACTTGGGGTGCGCCTGCTAGAACTATTTTCTGCTGCTAGATCCTGGGCAAGCGATCTCGGGTTCACCTTCTCTATGTCGTTCTGGTGGCCGGCGCCTGGCATGAGCATCTTGATGACCCAGGCTGGGGGCTCCTCCCCGGCCTTCGCTGCTTTCTGGACCTCAGCGACCAGAACTGACTCGAGTGGGCTGCCGCTCGACAGGAGCGACGCGCCCGGTTGACGGGGTGCTTTCGCGCGGTCCCGCAGGATATCCTGCGCGAGGCCGTCGTCGTAGTCATGTCCGTCTACGTCGTCGTCATCGACTTCCCCCCACGCGCGTCCATCACCGTTGCCGGTGTGGACGTCGTCGTCGGTTCGACTCCCGATGTTATCGTCGTGAGCAGACTCAGCATCACTGCTGTCGTTGTCCGCATGGCTCTCATCTCCGTCGGCAAGAGGACCGAAGGAGCCGATGCTGCTGCTGTTTGTGCTCGACGGGGTTGCTAAGCCCGCGGAAGCACCAGCATTCTGTCCAGCGCGCCTCGCCTTATGCTGTCCCTTTTCGGGCTTAGCGGCGGGCTTTGCTGCGGCTGTAGCAGCATCAGAGCGTTGCGACTTCGGCGGCTGTTGATTTTGGTTTTGCGTATTTGCTTTCTTTTTGTTGCCTCCCATGTTTCAGACTTGGGTTACGGCGAAAAAGAAAAACGCTTCGTCGAACGCCAATATGGATGCCCTCTACTCCTGGTGAGTGGAGAGTCCAGGGTTGTGGTGGCTATGTCCTGCCACCGGAGGTTGGCTATTTCCTTTGGTGTAATGTGGCGAGGAATGCCAAGCGTGACCGAGCGAACTCAGTCAAGCTAGGGTGGTGCGGAGAGTGTGGGTGAGCCTTCGTGGACTCATTTCCCCATCCTCCTAAAGATTCATTAACTATTCGCAGCCGTTGGAAATCTGTAGGGTCATGACCCCTTGGGACCAACAGTGATCTAATATCACATATCCCTTGGATCTGACTCTTTATGTACGTGTGCTTGTGCTTCCTGAATCTCCATATCCTGACCTCCACATTTCCCCTGCTTGTTCTGTGTTTTCCCGAAAGTAGTGGGCACACTCCCCGTGCTTCGGACTTTCGGATGCCCTTAAGAACAATGTCGGGCGGCACGCAAAGAACGCGGGGCCACGGTGATCGATGCACACATGTGACTGCAAGGGGCAATGCCGACGCGAAACAAGACACCTGCCGTTGCTGGTTTCATGCTCCGCCAAAAAATTGTTTTCGCCCACGGCGGCCGGCATCGCGGAAAGGGGTCGCGGATGATGATGCCTACGCGGTGCCTGTTCAGTGTACAAGAGTGCGTACGGATTGTGTACCTGAACTTGTAGAAGAGAATTGTGAGCACGGTGTCCACGTAGATGAATTTGTTTTCTGGAGAAAGGGCGTCGAGGTCCGGGTGTCGCAAAGCGATGGCGAGGACGAACTGCCGCAGCTCTTCCTGATACAGATACACAATCGGGGGGTGCGCGATGGAGGAGGGGTAGTACGGGGCGTTTCGGGAGGCGAGAGTTACGCGGCTAAATCGTCTACGCCAGCTGTACGTCGAGGTGAAGTTGTTCAGACGGCTGACCGTCTTTCTTCTACACCTGAATACGACGCCGGTCGGTGTGCAATGGTCAGGCAAGGCACAGCTAAACATTGGAACAATATTGCACTTGTTCGGCGCGTTTGTGTAAGATTCCCAGAAAATGATGAGGAGACCAGAGAGATACCTCCCGTCCACCCCCCCCAACCCCCCGCCAGACGACTAAGACGGCACAACCGTTGCTGTTGCCTGTGATAATTATCTAGTTGTTGCTCAACCGCTCATCCTTACCCTCCCGATTCTGCCGCTGCTGCTGGCTCTGGTGCCGCTGTCGATCTTGACGAGCTTGAAGAATCTCTCGGTGGCATCACGAGGCCCGATCTCCTTCTCCCAATACTGCCCGAAGGCGTACAGCACGTGGTTCATGGGCAAGACGGTCACGCCCCCAGCGAACACCCTGCCGTAGACGGCGGTGGTGACGAGCTTGAGCACGATCGGCCCGAAGGCCGCCGAGAACCCGCACGCCGCAGAGAACGCCTCCGCCTCTCGCTCGATTCCGCCGCCCCACACGTCGGCGGTGCCCAGCTCGAGAGACCAGCCCTGCAGCTGGAACATGAGCGGCCACAGGTCGAACTCCCTGGGGTCGTACATGAGAGTCTTGCCCTCCACCAGCTGCAGGGGGTGAGGGACGTGGTGGTCGAGGTGGGGCGGGTCCCTCTCGGACGACGACTCTTCGGAAGTCGACAGCCCCGCGGGAGGGGGGGTAGAAGGAGCCGCGGTGATGTGCTCCTGCCGGGGCGTTGGTGGTTCCAAAGAGGGTCGGGTCTCCGCCGGCCTCGCCACGTTTGTCTCCGCGGGGGCTGCCGATTCCCGCTCCGCTGCCGCCGCATCCCTACCTCGATCTTCCTTCAGTGCATGCTCAGCCTTCGCCAGCAGCAGCTCGTCCACTCCCTTTCGCTTTGCCACTACTACGGCAGTGATACTTCCCTCCTTCCCTCCCTCGTCTCGTTTTGCCAATGCAGCCGTGCCCACTAACTCCGCTGCGGTGGTATATTTGGTCGCCGTGCTCTTCTCTCCCGATGATTTCGTCTCGGGGCTTGGCTGCTCCGCCGTGCGCCTCGCCACACCGTACGCGTAGCAGGCTGCGCCAATGACGCGTGCACCCCGCTTTCGCCGGTCCCGTTCGCCCGTGCAGTGGGCGTAGGCTCGACGGCACCGCAAGCGAACGGCCTGCCTCCTCCAGGCCGCTTGGATCACGGCCGCTGCGGCACCTACCCTCTCGCGCTCCCGGCGTTGCGCCCTGCTCTCAGCGGCGGCTTTATCGGCCTGCATCGCCCGTACGGCGTAAGGCCGGAGGCACCGCCAGCGCGCCACCGCCTTGATCAAGGCCGCCTGGATCGCGGCGGTTGCCCTATCGCGTTCCCCTTCTCCCTCCTGCTGTTTGGCGCGACCCACAGCCACGTTGCGCTGAATCTCGGCTAGCCTTTTTTGCCAGGCAGCGACGGCCTTGATCGCCATGTCCAAGTCGTGCTGATGCCTTACGGCCGCCTTTGCGTCCTGCCGCGCCGCGGCATCCTGTCTTGAGCCCTCGGTCCTTCGGTCCTTCTTGCGCTGCCGCGTCTCCCTCCGCTTGGCCGCTTTCTTGAGCCTCCTCTCCTCTGCGAGCTTGACCGCAGCCCTTCGCGTGGACGAGCGAGCGGGTTTCGAGATTTCCGGCGCCTGCATCCCTCCCGCCCTCGCCGCCCCTTCTCCTAGGAGAATTTTCTCGCTACCGTTAGCGGAGCTCGGTTCCGCTTCTTCCCTGTTCGGCGGAGCTTCGTCCAGCTCGATGGCAGCGGTCTTATCCAGCTGAAGGACTTCTGTGACCATCGCCCCCGCTGCTACTGATGCTACTGCCTCCGCTATCTTTGATGAAGACAACGGCGGTTCACCTGCTGCTTTCTCGGGCTTCGTTATTTCCGCCGCGTTACCCCTTACCTCTACCTCCTGGGCCATCTCGACCTCTGACACGGCTGACTTCAGTCGGACCTTACCGCTCTTTTCTTGCTGCTGCTGCTGCCGCCTCGAGTCCGCCTCGCTCCCTTGTCGCGAGCAGATCTCCCGTTTTCGCTCATATTTTTTCACTCTTGCAGCTTTTCTCTTCACGTTCTTTTTGTACCTTCTCTCCGCCGATCTGTTTTCGGCGGTGATGATGGCGGTGGCGGTAGTGGGGGTGCCCGCCGACGCTGGTGGCAGCGCTGCAACTTGCTGGGCACATGACGTGCTCATGGCGCTCGATCGTCACTTCCCCTTGAAGGGCTGCGGGTGAGCATGCGCTGCTGTACAGTGTCGACGAGATTTGAAGACAAAAAAATAAGAACGTTGATGTTGAGTCAGCCATGATGAGGAGATTCGTCCGTGCTGAAGGGGAAATAAGGCCTGTGTCAAATAAAAACGGACCCTTCTGCATCTCGGCCACTCGCGAGCCATCGTGCTGAACCTTATGGTAACGCCTTCCTCTCGGTCTGAGGCGGGCGCACCCGGTGGGTTGGCTCGCTCTGCCCCCGTACACATGTAGACTACATAAGCCATGTGTGAAACGCGCCGGCTGTGAACATCTATACGTGCGGTATAGACTAGTCTATAGGACTCTGACTGATGCAAATATATCTGGGTGTGCTGTCTAAGTTTGAGGTCCAGGCGCGTCTGGCCACCCTACGGTCGACCTACTGCTAGAACCTCTTGGCCACCATGGCCATCAGTTGTTCAGGCGCTAAGGTCGGGCTGTGGCATCGCACACCGCTGTGCGAGGACTGATCATGCAACCCGCCCAGATTCCCTCTCCATTGCTCAACAACGGTTTATGTACAACCGAGTAGTCTCACCTTCCTCAGATTCTCTCTCCGTCGTGGTGTAGTAGCGCCCCTCCTACCTCGACACGTGCGTGTATATACCTCAGTCTGTGATTCTGTGCCGAAATTATACCTCTCGCACAGGTCGCGACGTACGCGCTGTGGACGTTGACTACATATGTGGGAGCCCAGAGCCAACATCTCGTCCTGGACGGAAATGCGGGGGAACTCGAGGATTTTTGGCCCCCAAGCTTTAAACTGATTGGTCAACCAGCCCCTCCGCACCGTGTGCCAAAAAACAGCCAGATAGGTAGGCAGCCTGGTCCAATGTGAGACAAAGAAAACGAGTGACTGTGGCACATTACTAGTGCTGCACAGGTCTGTGGGTTAACCCCGAGAAGTCGTTCCATGGCGGGCGCGACCCGAACACCTAAAAGCACCCGAGCTCCGTTCTATTGTACGTCGATCTTCACGAAAGTAAAGTCTATGTAGTCTAGACTATTCAAAGCCCCGCACGAAGCTTTGATCCATTTTAGGTATGCATAGACTACATGTAGACGATGCATACAGCCGCAGCAGTTGTAACAAGATCATACAGTACGTAGGTAGATGAAGGTCTGTTGTTACCCACAAAAAACAATGAATCCATCATGAGTTTATCCTAGACTTTTAAAGTTTTATCTTTGATGCGAGACAAAAAATATCGTTCAATACGTCTGGACACACACCCAGCCGATATTATGTGCTGACTTCATCTCGTTGACCCGCCGCACGCCTTTTCGGTCAGATCCTTGTTCTTTTTTAGAGTGTGGGCAGGGGTGCGTTTCTTCATCTACAGCGATACTAGCATTTAAGCTGGCTAACAGAAAGCATTGGGTGCACGCGTTTGGCAGCATCAAATCGGAGCGTTGACGAGCCGCCACTTGTTTTTTTTCGGGTTGACATCCTGGCCTGAACCAAAGAATGAACTCACAAAAAAGGTGATGCACGCGTGAGTGCAACAAGTAACTGGTTCCACCTCTTTCCACGTGGCCTGAGGGATGGCACGCACGTAACCTCGGAAACGAACAAGCGGACAAACCTCTAATGCCGTCCAGACACCCTTGGGTTAAATAACTGCATCAAGAAACCACGACTTTGACCAGCGTCCCGCTGAAACAAAAACGTGAGTGTTACTATTTAGGGCGAGTAAGCATTCATAAAGACAGAGGAGTGGATGTACAGCGAGCGGGGAGCACAAAACTTCCCACCACCTTGTCATGATCATCGAGCGCCCCTTATTTGCGCCGCTCTATGAGACGTACGAACACCGCACGTGACACATTGAATAGATTTTAACAACAGCCGGACACACGCCCATGAGACTACAACAACGTCTGCAGGCCAAGAGCCCCGGAAACAAAAATCCCAAACTCCGGCAAAAAAAAATCCAGAGTGGGGGAGACCTACTGCTGCAATAGTTTCCCCTGAAGATGTCGCGCCACAACTGCCCTGCCCCGTGCGTACGTTTTCAATTCGTGTCAAACAAAATCTCAAGAAGTCAGGTCAGTCTTACGCTGCGCTGCCCCCTCCCCCCCCCCCCCCCCCC